GTTTGACAGGTAAACAGGCAATGTGTTCCACTGACTACACATTGGAGAGTTTAATGCATAATATATAATCTAAATGCACAATGTTGTGCTCACCACAGATAATTTTTTATCAATTATGCTTTTTGCTGCTGCTGCAAAAAGCTGTCCATGCAAAGATTCACAGCTGCTAAGCTTCAGAGCCTTCAGCATCCCCCACAGTCCCCAGCACAGAGGGTGAAAGGCCCACAGGCTGGGGTGAGGACTGAGCTTTGCCTTTTTTCCTCTATGAACACATGCTCATGTGTTCCCCCGTCATTTTGTTCTTTCCTTTTAGAAATGGCTAAATATGACAAATTAGTGACACATGACTGGCTAAGTGAGAAGACATCACATCACAGACGAGTTACATCTAGTTGACCTGTGCAGAATCTGAAACAAAAATACCTGAAGGAAACATTCTATAATCAACATAAAACAAATTTTAAGTTGTCTAAAACCTACTATATAGGGCTCAAGTTCTCCAAGAAGCATTTGATATTTGCCTAATTTGGGATACTTTTAGAGAGTAAAAAACTTGGTTTTGTTTTATTCTGCATTTTCCTCCAGAACATTATGAGCATGAACTAAAACTAGGGTTTTGCAATGGCAGAGTTGCTAACTGTGCTGGAGTTTTGGTGTGGTTTTCTGTGTGTATATGTTTTGGATTGTTTTTTTTTTGTCTTGAACTGTTTTATGCTTTATTCTCTGTTTGTGAACAGATATCAGCAAAAGCTTAGCTTGGAGAATGCTTAAAGGAGCACATAGAGTGCCCAATCAAGCCTGATTTTATTCAATAACAACAGATAATAACAGTGGTGAGAGAAAATGTCAGTTTTGCCTTTGGTGCAGGTGAGTGGGTGAGCTCCAGGGCAGAGCTCAGCTGTCCCCTGGGAGCGAGTGATTCTGCCGTGTGTCAGCACCTGGGGAGAATGCTGATGTCAGGGCACATTTAGAGCTGTAATCATCCTTGACAAGATGAAATATGGCCTCTGAATTCCAAGAACATATGGGATTATTGAGAAGGAAAATGGTGTGAACAAGGGCAATTATAGCAATAACTATCCATGACACACTACATGGAGTCAGCCAAGCATAACACAGATATAATGAAAATATTTTTAAAGGCAAACATGATGTAAGCCAGTGCCAAAATGATCTAATTTATTATTCTGTCATGAATGATAAATGTTAATAACCTCTGTGTTTCATAAAATAGCAAAAAAGCTTTCTTTTACGTATGACTTGCTACATTATTTTAAAGGATACAAAGCGAAGAAGGTTTATTGAAAGAGGATGAAAAACCTTTCTCATCTAAATTCTAATCTTTAATTTTTCAGCATATAATTGCTCTTGTTATTTTTCCACACCACACCACACCTGCACACCTAGGCAGCAGAGAGGAGGCAGCTGGCAGTCTGTTAATCATCACAGAACGAGCTCTAACCTTGAGAAGGAGCTGCAGGACTGCATCCCTGTGAGGAGACCGACGTGTGATGTTTCTGGACTTGCAATATCATTGTCACATAAAAGTGTAAGAGGTATAAAGTTTTCAGGCAATAAGCACTAGTTAAAACCCATCACTTCTGACCTGCTGTGGGCTGAAACCATTCCCAGAGCCAAAGCTGCAGTCACAGGCACTCAGGCAAGGCTGCTCTGGCTCTGCTCTGGTTGTTCTGAGAGCCAGGAGTTCTCCCTGCAGTTATCCTCTGGGTATAAAGTTTAACAAAAATACTGCCTGCACATTACCTCAGCACCCTGCCAGACAGCAGGTCTCTCACAGGATGCATAATTGCTCTGATGTTTAATTGCAACAATAGCACTGATGGGGAACCTTCATTGTTATGCTGTTGTTTACAATCCATATCCATAGCAAAAGAATCGTTTTAACAAATACAGAGTCCTTTTAGGAAATTAAGATTTCTTATTTATTTGATGGGGAAAAAACAACAAAACTAAATTATTTTACTAATTACTGGCAAAGTCATTCTTGCTACATTACCTATTTTTAAAACTCACATTTCATTCAATTAAGATTTCATACTGTTGACAAAATGATGCTGTCCAAAAAAAAAATATTGTAATAGCTGCTATATACAAGCCCATAAATAAATTGCAAGATTTTCAAGCTTCAAGAGACTGAGGACAGAAAGAGATTGTTTAAAGATTAATTTGAACATTTCTTATTCAGTACATTTGCTGCATTCAGTACCAAGAAAAACACTTTGAATCAAACAAAAAGAATGGCTATCGATGGCAACAGAACACGTTTGTACTTTGAGGGGATTTTTACCAGTTTATCAAAACCAGAAGCAGCGCCATGCCCAATGCATGGGATAAATTCATGCTCCAAACCTCGTGGGCCATGAACAAAATAAAACTGCTTCATCCCAGCCCCGTTCAGGTGCAGCAGGACCCTGCACGCTCAGAGCATCCCAGGAGACACTGGGTCATCCCTCACAGCACTGCCCTGTCCCTTTCCAAAGTATAAAACCAAACATGCTTTCATGCTTGACTTAGGTTTGGTGAACAATTTCAAACCAGAGCATGCCTGATGAGAAACTGCCTCAGCCCGTTGTGCCACTGTCATTCTGCAGTGTCAGGGGTACATTTCTTGTTGGGGTTTTTTCCAAAGGGACCTTGGATGGTCACAAAATGACCAATACAGCACAGGAGGAAATGATGCAGGGAACAAAAATTGTGCAGAGGGGAAAACTCTTAAAAATTAAGATTTAAAAAAAAAAAAAAAAAAAAAAAAAAAAAAAAAAAAAAAATTAAAAAAAAAAATTTAAAAAAAAAAAAAAAAAAAAAAGCTTTTAAATGTTGTCTGGTTCATTCACAGAACTTTGTGCTATAAAACAATGATTAGAAAATTATCAAGGAGGGTTTCAATCTATATTTGTGGTCACAGTATAAAAAAGCCAAAAACAAACCAAAGAAACAAACCAGAGCAAAAATAACTCATATGGTCCAGTATAAAAAATACGCTTAAATACATTGTCTGCACACAATACAAACTCTGAACACTGTTATCACAGTACTTTTCTATTCCATCTCCTCTGTACATCCCAAAGGCTCTGTCTACGGGGTCTTTCAGGGAAAAAAAATAATTTTCAGGCCAAGAAAAGCCCAAATATTTGCACAGCTGTAAGACAGAACAGTGCAGAAAAGGTTAGGAGAAAACCATACAGAAAAGCCAAAATAAAGACACAGCCATCTACATATTTAGCTTTTACTGACCCTCTCTTTGGAGTTAGCTGTCAACAACTGGAGTTATTTAGCATTAAGAAACATGAGATTAAAGCCGTGGATTTCATACCTGTAAATGTGTGATGTGCAGTTCTGCTCTGTTCCAGCTGCAGGAATCCAGCAGAGACCTGGTGTAACTAAAATCATTTCTGTAGAATGTTTTGAGCTGTAAGCTCAACAAGCTTGGGTGTACTCTGGGCTCCCAGTTTGGGGATCACACCCAGGTGTGGGAAGGAGAAAAGGCAGGAAAGACTGAGCCAAACTGAAACAGATCTTTTTTTTTAGTGCAGGAAGGAAATAGGAACAAAACTTGTTTTGGGCCAAACAGAAATTAAATGCATTGAGTTTTTCTAAACTTTAAATGAAACACTTCACTAAATTCAATCATAATTGGTGGATATTTCCTGTTCCCTAAAGATTAATTTAATTTCATTTTACTTTTTTATAAATTTACTATGCAATAAAAAATTTCCACTTTGCATATTAGAGTGTAAATACCTTTTCTATTAGAAACAAAAAACACTGTGACCAGGAATGGTCTGAGCTGCAGAATACACAAACATTTCATTAAGGCTAAAAAAACCCAACACGAAGCACCTTATGAAGAGGTGAGGTTGAAGAGTTGCATTTTCTGCCTGTTGCAGTACTTTGGGAGCCCAGTGGCTCAGGACAGTGAATTACCTGCTGACCTCTGCAGAGCAGTGCTGGGAGGGCTGGGGTCAGAGTGTGGCTGCAAAGGCTTTGTGGAGCATCCTCACCTCTGGAAGTGGCTCTGGGGTCACAGGGTGGCTGCAAAGGCTCTGTGGAGGATCCTCACCTCTGGAAGTGGCTCTGGGGTCACAGGGTGGCTGCAAAGGCTCTGTGGAGCATCCTCACCTCTGGAAGTGGCTCTGGGGTCACAGGGTGGCTGCAAAGGCTCTGTGGAGGATCCTCACCTCTGGAAGTGGCTCTGGAGACCCTGAGTAAGTCCCAGAGCAGGGCTCTGACCTCTGCCAGGGGTTAAGCTCTGCTGGGCTCCAGCTGGGAAGGTGCACGTTTGGCACAGCAGGGGTGGCCCTGCCTTGTGCTCCAAACACCACTCTGAGACCCTACAAAACACTGCTCAGAAAAAAAAAAATTACAGTGCTTTTTCCCTCCTTAAAGATAGTTCATAGCAGTACTAAAGCAGAAGCTACTAAATGCTGAGCAGAGTCTGAAACCACCAAAAGGGACTGCAGAGACCTGTTTAAAAGCTGTCTGCAGGAAACAACACAGACTCGTTTGTAGGCTGGCTGTCTTCACAGTATATCAGTGTCTTACATCTTTGTGGCAGCAATTCAGTGAAATGACCAGCAAAAGGAGCAGGGTACGTCACAGCTCCAGGGCTTGATTTCTAGAAGCCACAGTGAGTTTGCAAAATGCACCCAAAGGAGAGTGGATGATTGCATCCCCGAGCTGCAGGGGAATAATTGAATAATTTGTATGACAATGTGTCAGCAGACACACATCAGCAACAGAGGGGCTGTGGGGCTGCTCTAGGACAGCCACAGCCAGTTTTGCCTCTGATGATAACAGGGCAAGAGGAAGAGCTAAAAATACGACCAGGCCACATTCAGGAGATGTACAGCTTACAGGTGCTGTTTATGTGCTCGTTAGCTTTGCCAACCCACACCCACCTTGGAAGTGGGGAGCTGGAACCTGCTCCTCCCTCACGTCCTGGCTCCCTTGTAGCATCTAGTTAAACACCACACCACGTATTTTGAATCAACTTCACTTTGATAATTCTGTAAGGTAAAAAATGTAAACAGAGAGAGCACAGCAAGTCTGGAATAGTCTCATTACAACATCACAATGGGAAACATTTCATTTTAGAGCATAAAAATCCATATTTTCAGAGGTATGTTGCTTTCCCTCAGTTCTGGGAGCTGGAATGATTCAGAGAGCAAGAAGCCCTTCTTGCATACCTAGACTTTTCATCATTGGTGACAAAACCATCCAGTGTATATTTGTGCTGGTCATTTTTACAGATACTGCTAGTAGCCAAGTGCTAGAATGTGTTACAGTTTTGAAGGCAAGCAATGAGGGCTATTTACTCAACAAAACAATGGCAATTCCCAATTCATTAGGCAGTGATTAAAAACCCGGTTTTCTACTGTTACAGTGAGAAAAAGCTGGTGGACACGGGGTCGGAGGTCCTGAATGTGTGGCTTGATTTTCTCTGAGGAGCTGCTGTTCCTGTCAGACTGCTGATAAATCAATGCGGTTTGCTGAATTGGTGCTTTTATCCCAGGTGTTCAGCTTCGTGGGAGTTGTGCCTGGCCTGTTCCCAGTCATCTGGAAAATAAAATAGTATAGAAAATCGATTTATTTATTTGCCAAGCCACTCTTGCCTGGATGAAATAAAAGCTTGAAGGCATCTATTTACATTACAGTGTTCTCACAGGGTCTTGAGAGCATATGCCAAAAGGATTTTTAAACAGTTATTTCCAGGATCTAAGGTGATTGGCAACGATCACTTAATAACACCTATCACTTCAGATGTCTGGTTCTTTATAAAAAACAAATGTCTCCTGTCTCAAGACAATCTAAGGAGAGCTAGAAAAGGATATTCACGTGCTGGCTTAAATGCAAGAATGCCCCATCAGAGAGCCACCATCATCAGAGCAATACATTGCCAAAGTGCTGCTGGAATGCAGAAGTCCATTGTAATTGGTGGGAATAGCCTTATTGAACCATATCCAGAGCCCACAAAGCTGTTTCCTTTATTTGATCATTTCCCAGAAGGCAGAGTTGCGTCCTTTGCTTTCAAAACAGAAATTGAAGCTGCAACTTCATGCTTGCTGGTTCCACCTGTCTGCACCTTGCATTAGGCTGGTACTAAAAATACCCATGGGCCTGCTCTGTTCTTTCCAACAGAATTTATTCTGGAACACTCTCAAATACAGTAGGGAAAAGAAAAAAGGAGCAATACTTACAATGTCTGAATTGAAGGGCTTCACATTGATGTTGCGTGTTGAACTGCTGGTGAGGGACCAGACCTTGGTTTTGTGCTTAAAGGCAGCTCTAACCTTTGGCAAAAACAGTGAAACCAGTTGAAAAAGTTGTGTTTATTTTCCCAGGTGCAGCCTGCAATCATTTCCCCTTTTTCCTTCCTCCACACAAATGTCACTGTGCTATTAAACAACAAACAGTCCACCCCTACATTTTTCTTTGTCTTTATGGACTTTTGACTTGGAAACTTTCACATTTTCTAACTAAATACAGAGCCCCAGGCTGGAGCACGAGGTGCCCCATGCAGGCAAGGCTCTCCCTGGGCTTCACACAACCCTGAATATCCAGGTGCCAGCAGGACAGAGAGCAGCTGCCAGCCTGTTGTAAACCGAGTCATTGAAAGATGCTGGATGAAACTCCCTGGAGATGGGGCAATATTCTTCACCAAGGTGAAAATCAGCTGCAGAAAAGACAGATGGTGGGACAAGCAGGTGAGATTTGCCAAGGACTGATGGCTGGGAGTGACTGGTGTGCAGATCAAGGACAGTTTTTCAGACCATCTTGGACCATTCTCCTGTGATTCTTCATAATACCAGTGCATTTCTTTTTCACCCAGCCACTTCTATACCCAGTCTATAGATGTTTCTTGACAATGTCTGAGTTTTACTTCTCAGAAAGAAATTCTCAAGGATTTCTGCTATTTAGCTAAAGGAGTATTTTAGATATGCACAGCCTATGAAGGAGCCAGTAAGCCCTGCTCTCCAAAAATGACAGCTCACATCAGCTGTGTGGTTTTTGAGGATATAAATTCTGAAAAGTTTCTGAAATTAATTTCTCATGGTTCTGGAAAAAATGACAGCAGTTCAAATATTTGTATTTGATATAAAACATTTGAAACTTGAAAATTTCTAAGCCTGGGGGAGAATAGAATAAAGAAATATTTTTCCTCCCTACCTTTAACCTGCCTGCTAAATTTTAGTTGATTTCTATAAAGATCAAGAGTTTCACAGTCGGACCTGACTCTCCAAGCTGATTTTGGCAGGGATCACATCAGTGAATGCTCTGAGCTGGAATAGGTTGGCAAATATTAATAAATAATAATTTCTCTACAGAAGAGCTGGAGTGCTGCTGTTGCACAGGAAACAGCAGCAGGTTATGGGGCACAGCTACTCATTAACAGCCAGGAAAAAGATCTGTGGGGAACCAAAGCTCCGAGGGTCTCCACTGAGCATTGCGCTGGCAGGTGCTGGAAATGGCTCTCATAAAACCATTTATTTCAGTAATACTTGTTGCTGAGCATTTTCTGCTATCTGCCACACGAGGAGAGGATGCTCCAAGCCAAATTTACATCAGCCTTGTCTTGGCTTTATCCCAGTTCCTCTAATGCAGCCTTAATGCAAAAAAGATGCCTCAGTCCCCTGTGAAAAGCTGAATTCCCACCAAGAAAAATACCTGGAATATCTTCTACTCACTATGGCTTCCCATTAAGGACTGCATGAGCAACATCCAAAAGTATGTTTCACTGAGAATAATACTTATTTTCCTCCCTGGGACTGCAGCTGTGACAGAGCCCCCAGCAGGGACTGCCAGATGCTGCTCCCAGTTTGAAGCATCTCCTCCTCCCAGGCAGTCCGTGCCTGCTCAGCCCCTCCAGATCCCAGGACTCTACTCTTCTGACTCTTGAACTGCTCCTCTTATCTTGGTTCTGTGTCTCCAACCTTTCTTATGCTAATTAAAACAAATGTCAAGCATGGGTAAAAATGCTGCAAGTCACAAAGCCAGAGGAGTCATGGATTAATTAAAAGAAAAAGGAAATCAGTGACATAGCAGGCAATGATAATGCAGAAAATCTGCTCTTGCATCACACTTATGTTCATTGAATTTGGTAACACCAGATTTATTAACATGATTGATTTCATACCTCTGAGTTCAGAAGACAGTGAAACAGGAACATGAAAAATCCCTGAAAAAGGGGAAAAGGGAAAAGGGTGAGGTCTTGCTGTGAAAAATCAAATTCAATAATGTGTTTCTCTCAGTATGTACAGAACAGGCATCGGGCAGCTGGAGCCCTGTAAATATCTGAGTGCACTAAACCAGAGTGTCCCAAGTGAAACCTGCAGCATTAGGTTACTGTGGGGCTTGGAATTATTCCTGCAAAACTTTCCTAAACTTTGCTGTACTAAAGGAAAAATCTGGCTGAAAATATGCAGAAATTCTTGTTTCATGACAACAAGAGAACTTTTTGCTTGTGGTTGCAAAGACCAAGTAGAGGGAAATGCTCTTAGGGGAACACCAGGATTTTTCAGGTCAGAAAAGCAAGATATTAGCACTAGGAGAATTTTCACAGCAGAATTTTGCTATCTTTGGGCTTTTAGTCCAATGCAAAGTGAAAAGCCCTCATCCCTTTCCTTCACAAAACAATTTTATTTTCCTGGCAATAGTATTTAGCACCAAGAACACTGTTTTACTATTTTTGTATCCTAGTGCTGTTTGTTTCCAAGACAAGAAAGGATTTCCAGGAGATTGTTTTTTCTCCCTCTCTGTAAGCACTGTTTGGGAAAGAACTGTAACACGCCTATAGGGTTATGCCTCTGCTGAAATGTCTGCTTAAAGCTAAGCAGATGTTTACATTCCTCCCTGGACAGAGCTGTTTCTCTGGATTGCTGTGCCAAGGAGATGAAGGCTGAGTTTCCTGCATGCAGGAGTTCTGTACAGCACAGGGAATAGCTCCACTTTTGATCTTGCCCATATACTTCTGTTTGCTTTCATTTAGTCTCAGTAATGAAGCCTCAAACTGGCATTGAATAATTGGCCTGGTATCTCTACTGAAAAATCCTGCCTGTGGTACACAGTGTCGGAAGAATGGATTTCATTTCATTTCTGAAGCTCAGTGCTGTCTCATTTATTTAATTATTGCTGCTGGAAACAATAAGGAGTGGGATACAAGTTCTGTTCTAACGAAGACAAGCAATTGCCAGCACTCTGTGCTTAGTACAGAATTAAAAGACAGAGGAAGGAACACCGAATAAAATGCAATAAACATAAACATGTGAAGACATTACTAATGATCCATTTAATTGGATCTCGGAAGCACTTCTGTAACCATAAATTTTCCAACTAGGTACTTACCTGTAGTGAATTAAAAACAGCAAATATATACTGAAATACTAAAGCGTGGGCATTGACAGCCAAAATACCAAAGATCCATGAGCTCCCCAAGATGGGTAAGAGAACAGCCACGGCTTTAGCTGTTAGTCTGTAGGAGAAAATGAAAATAGGAAATTGTGGTCAGACCATTAAAGAAATGTCAGCCTCCACACCAAGGAGCTTATCAATTATGTTCTCACAGCAAGGCAGCAGACAGAACTCTTCTTTACCATGAAATTCTTTTAATGGGAAAGATTTTAATTATTTTTTCATCTGTGGAAATAGGGATAACAGAGCACTGGTATCACACAGGATAAATAGAGATGGCGAGTCAGAAACTGAGGGAGCAGGGAAAGAGATCTGGGAGACGGTCATAAAAATACTGCAGTAATATCTTGAGTTTACAGAGAAGTTTGTTAGTGGGCAGCCAAGTGCAAGAGTCAAAAACCAGTGAGCACTGCACACCCAGGTCACAGCCTGGGCAGCCCACACACTTCCCTGTGTGGGTCTGCCACACTGTGCTCTCCCAGAAAACTCATCACTCCTCAGGGAAACCTTTCTTGCCATCCAGGACCTGCTATTTGATAAATGCCAGGAGCCATTTCCCCTGCAAGGAGGAACAGCTGAACCTTTGCACACCGGGCACATTTCCAGGGACAGCTCTCAAAGGAGAACTCCTCCTCCTGGCCAGCTGAGAACAGCTTCAGCAGCACAAGACAAAAAGCACCAAGAAGGGACCAGTCCCCACTGGGAGCATGGCCCAAGATGTAATCCCAGCTTTCAGCACTGCAAACACTTAGAGAGCTCCTTTTGTAGCCCATGGGATTCATGCAGAATTATCAAATTAAGTGTTTAAAATATCAGTTAATTCAGTCTATGGTGCAATTACAGATAGAGGAGCCAAGGAGCAGAAAAGAAACAGGGGTAGTGAGAAACAAAAAGTCAGTCCCTGCTTGCTAAAACCATGAGTTTTAAAAATGATCAGATTTCTATTTAGATGGGAGCCTATGAAGGGAAAAAGCTGCTTCAGGAAGAATAATGTCCTGATTGTGCCTTGTGACCCCTTGTACAGATTAAAGCACACATTGAGAGAAGTGCACAAAGCTGTCTGACAGGAGACTGCTTGTAATTACAGCAAACACAAAACAAATGATCATTTTGTACGACACAATTCAATGAAGAAATCTTTTAATTAAACTTAGAGACAAGATGTCTTGTTCATTTCTGTGACCTGAGCACACACCATCATATCAACTAAAAGTGCATCATGAAGTTTATAGGGAAATCTGGGACAGGGAAGCATCGAGATTTTTTTTTCTGTTTTGGTTTGGGTTTTTTTTCTGTATTGATTCATATCTCTGTATGCTCAGTCATGAATATTTCTGCATAATTCAGTCTAATTCTTCAAGGAATTTTTTCAGTCAGAAAATGAAGGAATATCTTAAAGCTTGAGATCCTATTTAAATTTTAAAATGCATTTTAAAAGATACAATTTTTAAACAATTTATACAAGTTTATTTTTGTGAATCAAATATGCTTTGGGTTTTTTTTTTTCTCTGATAGGATTAAAGATCCTCCCCAAACTCCAAGATAAAATGTGCTGCAGTGGCGACCTGCCAGCAGAACAGCTCTTGCCATGGGCTTTGTGCAGGAGGAGCTGTGAAATGCCACTGAGCACTCAGGAAAATGCAGTGTGCAGGATCAGGAGCTGGGCAGGCCAGTGAGCACCTGGGGATGGAGCAGGTACCCCCAGGAGGGTTCAGGGGTTTGAACACCTGGGGATGGAGCAGGTACCCCCAGGAGGGTTCAGGGGTTTGAAC